TTACTAATCAAATCTTTGTATCTATGAAAGAATTTAGTAAAAGTTTTAAGCAATTTATGGTAACGAAATCCCTGACTTAATAATTTACCACTGATGCATTGATTACGTTCGATAAAATCTATGACATCACTACACACACGGGCATACTTGCAGTTACTGAAAGCTAGTTCAAAGTCAAAAACAATTAATAATAAAAAAGCATGCACCAGAGACTAAAATCAACTAAAACACATCCCAGGGATTTAGTGTTTTAACGTCATGGACAGTCAAAGAAGACATGACTTGTGCAATGCCAAAATAAAAGTCAAAAGTACTTATACGTTTGTTTAAAGGTTCTATGAGTTTACACGGATCACATAGTGATTTCCGCGCTTTTAGTACAATATTGCCGTAAAATTTAGGGTGTGAAATACCGTTTTTAATAAGTTTTCTACAGGTACAGAGAAATTTACTAATCAAATCTTTGTATCTATGAAAGAATTTAGTAAAGTTTTAAGCAATTTATGGTAACGAAATCCCTGACTTAATAGTTTACCAGTGATGCATTGCTTACGTTCGTTAAAATCTATGACATCACTACACACACGGGCATAACGAACGAGTTGGGATATATAAACACCGTATGATGGAGCCAAAGGAACATCGCCGTCTAAAAGGGAAAATTAACAATAGAGAATGAACAATCATCTCTTTTGTCGTAAATTTTAGTATGGTGTTTCCCTTTAAAAATTAAAATGTCTAAATCTAGAAAAGGACAACTACTGCTGTTTATGTTAGATTTATTTAAAGTAAGTTCCTGTGGATAAATTTCGGTAGCATATTTAGAGAACTCTGGATTATTCCACGAAAAAAATATCATCAAGATAACAGTAGGTATTGTTGAATGTATCAACCAAATGTAACAATGACGTGTCTTTACTGAGTTTAGTCATAAACTAAGATTCATAGCAATACAGGAATAAATCTGTTATTAAAGGGGCGCAGTTAGTGCCCATAGGAATATCTACTACATGTACCTGTCGATACATTTTATCGTCGAAACGTACATATATGTTGTCCAGGAGAAAATTTAAAGCTTCAATCATATCTTCACATTTCCAGTAAGTGTATCTAGCATAATTTCCCTTTTCGTTACAGAAAAAGGCTTTAAACGAGTTAAACAAACATGGATGAGTAATATGAACAGCAGTACATGTAGTAAGCATATATTAAAGAAGGCACAAAAAAAGAGAAGATAACAGTGGGGAAATTGAAAATCATAAGTTTAATAAAAAACTTTGAAGAAAAGCGCCAGTATATGTAATTGCTTCTGTTCAAGAGGGAAAGTCTTTGCATATATATATATCATTCATTTTGTATAAAATTTCATTACGTTCATAAAATTATTTTATGAAGTGAAAGTTTGATATTCTAAGGATTAATCGAACTCAATTTCAGATGACTTTAAAACTGAAACAACATTTATTTCTGATTATTTCTGTGACCTTTCTTGGGACAGTTTCGACACAAAGTAAGTAACTTCGGAATTGTATTATACTTTCCAATTGTAATATGCAGATGTTGTTGAATTAAAATTCACTTAATATTCAACTAACATTAATGTATCAAAAGAATCAGTCGTAAGATCAAAAAAGAAAAAAAAAGAAAAAAAAGAAGGAAAGTGAAGGTGCACCATTGAAATTTTGTACAATTTGTTAGTATTTTTAGACCCTCTGAACATAAGTAAATACGCAAGCACTGTATGTCTTTGATTTAGCGTATCACGGTCGCACATGTAGTTGATGGACTACAAGCTAGTATTAAACATAAGCACTGATACAAAGTTATGACTTGGATGTTGTGAAGACTGTTGATTAGTTTGGTATAAACTAGAAAATGAAACTTGATCACAATAAATATAACAAAATTTAATGAAAACCATCAACAAGATTTTTTACCTTGTACAGGTGCATTTACAGTAATGTTATTATGGTGTGCTCACGCTAGTTATTTTTAGATATCAACCCTGATAATGATGATGATGATGATGATGATGTATCCAGCGGCAAATTAATATGCATATTCAGGACGAGAACATGTTAATGTAATATGAGTATTAACCCTGCTTTGTACTAGACCGATACGCTGAGCAGGATTTTTAACATACTAGTTCACAACATAACGTAGAAAGACATGTCACTTTACCCGGACACATTATTCTGACTCCGAGCTGACCAGTCTTTGCTCTTACTCCTTAATTCCGCGTGATTAGCGGAGAAGCAACAAATACCAATTTTAAAGTCTTCGGTTTGACCCGGCCGGGGTTCGAACCCAGAACCTCTCGCATTCGAGGTTAACAACCCTGATAATGATGATGATGATTATATATATAATACTGTAATGATCTACAAATTACACCCCCCCCCCCCCCACCCCCCCCCCTATAAACTAATTATTTGGTGATAATTTTTAATGAAACAAAGTGTATTTAAGATTTATCTAACGGAAGTTAAATAATTTTGATAGTTTAAAGAAGTAACGTGTCTTTGGGATGAAAATACGAGATTCTAATTGTTACTGACCTAAGAGATGATGAGTTTCGCACCACTCTTAGCTGTAGCTATGGGGACACTATGGGGATAGCTAAACTTTAGATAGATATATATATGTAGCTTAATTTTAAGCTTTACAATTGCTTTATAGTACTGAGGTGAATATCACATTTTATTGCAACTATTGCAACAAGCTATTCGGGACAAGACATTTTTAATTTCAATATTTAAATAAGTTCTAGTCGGACATAATACCGAAAAGAGAACATTTACGTATATACATATACGGGGTTAATCCTGGTATATATTAATTTTTTTCAAGACTTACATATTTGGTTGCAAATCGACGATACAAGGCAGAGTAACCCGTTTTTGAGAAGACTGATCCATAGTTAAAGTAACGAAAAAGACAACTAAAGGACATATTACATTTTGTAACTTTATTGTAACGCTTAAAAATTCTGTCATAACAAAAAAGTAACATGAGAAGTTCAATAAATCATCTATTATATATATGTATTATATTATTCCTCGGTTGATTAACGTATATTTTCCCCATCCCATGACCAAACTTATTCATTTTTATTAGGAGAGATATATATGTGTCACGTACACGCTACCAAAACCCGTGACAATACTAATAATAATACGTCTAATAATTCTAATAGTAATACGTCTTATAATACTAAAAATTATAATAATTATAATAATAATGATAAATATTATAAAAATAACAATTTAAATAATATTTTTTGCAGCAAATCTTGCACTTCATGGTATTGCTGATCAACAATCAACGCTTACAGATTCGTTAGGCCCTCATACCGCAAATTTGGCAATAGAAGGACCAGCAAATAATGACTGGAAAGATGGATGCTCATCTACACAACCAAAATCAGGCATATGTATGGTGGGGTGTAATTCTTCCTCAAGTAGCTTTCATAACAAATGTGGTGATTTACTATCGTGGTGACAGTAAGTACAGTCTTTGGTTTAAATGAATGTTTTTTGTTTTGTAAAAAATAGGTCGACTCTGACGAATGCCTCTTGCTGTGTCAATATATATATTTGTATGTATCTCGACAAACGAACCGTATTGAACCGGTTTTTGTGAAAACGTCGATTATTAACTAAGTATTCCAAGACTATTAAAACCGTGTTGGATTTTTCTTTTAAATTGAAGTATTTTTAATGTGATAAAAAATAATTGAAATCATGTATTTTTATTAATCACATGATTCTCCAGTTTCCCGCACTCGACTCAAGCTAGCGAACAATTGTAGCGAACAATTAGCCAGCGAACAAATAGGAGGTATAACTAAAAACCACAATTTCAAATAAGACAATCACGTTTTTTTCGAGCTAGCGAACAATTACAGAGACCTAGCGGACAATTATGAGAATATTCAAAATATTAAACAAAAACGAATAAAAAATATTAAAACAAAAGGGATACCATAAACCAATTTATAGAGATTGTGACAGGCAATGACTGTAAGGGTAACATAGAGGAGACCTTATCGTATCTAATAAGACAAACTCCAGAATGGTTTATGTTTAAAAATCTGAAGTTAAGTTTAAAAAACTGAAATTGTAAAAACGAAAAGGGAGGAGGGGGCATACATTAGGTTGATTTTTGACCCATTTATAGAGATTGTGACGGTACACGACTGCATAGGTGATGCAGCTGAGACATTAGCGTATCTATTAAGACAAACTCCAGGATGGTTTATGTTAAAAAATCTGAAGTTAGGTTGATAAAATTGTAATTAAAAACGAAAAGGGGGATACATTAAGTTGATTGTTGACCCATTTATAGAGATTGTGACGGGCAACGACTATATAGGTGTTATAGAGGAGACATTGGCGCATCGTTAAAGAAAATCTCCAGAGTGGTTTATGTTCGAAAATCTGAAGTTACGGTTAAAAAACTGAAATTGTGAAATTGACAAAATGAGACCAGGAGGGTAGGGCAATTTAAGTTAATTTTGGACCAATTTTAAGAGATTATAACGGGCAACGACTATATAGGTGTTGTAGAGGGGGTAATGGCACATCGTGTAAGAGAATCTCCAGAGTGGTTTATGTTCGAAAATCTGAAGTTACGGTTAAAAAAATGAACCTTTTATTGTGAAATTGACAAAATGAGATTAGGTGGGTAGGACACTAAAAGAAAAATTTGGACCATTTTAATGAGATTGTGACGGGCAACGACTATATAGGTGTTGTAGAGGAGACATTGGCGCAACGTTTAAGAAAATCTCCAGAGTGGTTTATGTTCAAAAATCTGAGGTTACGGTTAAAAAACTGAAATTGTGAAATTGACAAAACGAGATTAAGGGGGTAGGCCAATTTCAGTTAATTTCGGACTAATTTCAAGAGATTGTGACGGGCAACAACTATATAGATGTTGAAGAGGAGACAATGGCGCATCGTTTAAGAAAATATCCAGAGTAGTTTATGTTCGAAAATCTGAATTTACGGTTAAAAAACTGAAATTGTGAAATGGACAAAATGAGATTAGGGGGGAAGGACACTAAAAGAAAAATTTGGACCATTTTAAAGAGATTGTGACGGGCAACGACTATATAGGTGTTGTAGAGGAGATATTGGCGCATCGTTTAAGAAAATATCCAGAGTGGTTTATGTTCGAAAATCTGAATTTACGGTTAAAAAACTGAAATTGTGAAATGGACAAAATGAGATTAGGGGGGAAGGGCACTGAAAGAAAAATTTGGACCATTTTAAAGAGATTGTGACGGGCAACGACTATGTAGGTGTTGTAGAGGAGACATTGGCGCATCGTTTTGGAAATCTAAAATCTCCAGAGTGGTTTATGTTCGAAAATCTGAAGTTTCGGTTAAAACAATGAAATTGTGAAATTGACAAAATGAGATTAGGGGGGTAAGGCACTAAAAGAAAAATTTGGACCATTTTTGAAAGATTGTGACGGGAAACGACTATATAGGTGTTGTAGAGGAGACATTGGCGCATCGTTTAAGAAAATCCCCGGGGTAGTTTATGTTCGAAAATCTGAAGTTACGGTTAAAAAACTGAAAATGTTATTGTGAAATTGACAAAATGAGATTAGGGGGATAGGGCATTAAAAGGAAATTTTGAATCAATTTCAAAGAGATTGTGACGGACAACGACTATAAAGGTGTTGTAGAGGAGACATTGGCGCATCGTTTTAGAAAATCTCCAGAGTGGTTTATGTTCGAAAATCTGAAGTTACGGTTAAAACAATGAAATTGTGAAATTGACAAAATGAGATAAGGGGGTAGGCCAATTTAAGTTAATTTTTGACCAATTTCAAGAGATTGTGTCGGGCAACGACTATATAGGTATTGTAGAGGAGACAATGGCGCATCGTTTAAGAAAATCTCCAGAGTGGTTTATGTTGGAAAATCTGAAGTTACGGTTAAAAAACTGAAATTGTGAAATTGATAAAATGAGATTAGGGGGTAGGCCAATTTAAGTTAATTTTGTAGCAATTTCAAGAGATTGTGACGGGCAACGACTATATAGGTATTGTAGAGGAGACAATGGCGCATCGTTTGGGAAAACCTCCAGAGTGGTTTATGTTGGAAAATCTGAAGTTATGGTTAAAAAACTGAAATTGTGAAATTGACAAAATGAGATTAGGGGTAGACCAATTTAAGTTAAATTTAGACCAATTTCAAGAGATTGTGACGGGCAACAACTATATATTAAGTGTTGTAGAAGAGACATTGGCGCATTGTTTAGAAAAATCCCTAGAGTGATTTATGTTCGAAAATTTGAAGTTACGGTTAAAAAACTGAAACTTTTATTGTGAAATTGGCAAAATGAGATTAGGGGGGTAGGGCAATTTAAGTTAATTTTGGACCAATTTTAAGAAATTGTGACGAGCAACGACTATATAGGTTTTGTAGAGGAGACAATTGCGCATCGTTTAAGAAAATCTCCAGAGTGGTTTATGTTCGAAAATCTGAAGTTACGGTTAAAAAACTGAAAATTTTATTGTGAAATTGACAAAATGAGATTAGGGGGGTAGGGTACTAAAAGAAAAATTTGGACCATTTTAAAGAGATTGTGACGGGCAACGACTATATAGGTGTTGTAGAAGAGACATTGGCGCATCGTTTAAGAAAATCTTCAGAGTGGTTTATGTTCGAAAATCTGAAGTTACGGTTAAAAAACTGAAATTGTGAAATTGACAAAATGAGATTAGGGGGGTAGGCCAATTTAAGTTAATTTTTGTTCCAATTTCAAGAGATTGTGACGGGCAACAACTATATAGGTGTTGTAGAGGAGACGTTGGTGCATCGTTTAGGAAAATCTCTAGAGTGGTTATGTTAAAAAATCTGAAGTTACGGTTAAAAAACTGAAACTTTTATTGTGAATTGACAAAATGAGATAACGGGGGTAGGGCAATTTAAGTTAATTTTGGACCAATTTTAAGAGATTGTGACGGGCAACGACTATATAGGTGTTGTAGAGGAGACAATGGGGCATCGTTTTAGAAAATATCTAGAGTGGTTGATGTTCGAAAATCTGAAGTTACGGTTAAAAAACTGAAAATTTTATTGTGAAATTGACAAAATGAGATTAGGGGGGTAGGGCAATTTAAGTTTATTTTGGACCAATTTTAAGAGATTGTGACGGGCAACGACTATGTAGGTGTTGTAGAAGAGACAATGGCGCATCGTTTAAGAAAATCCCCAGAGTGGTTTATGTTCGAAAATCTGAAGTTACGGTTAAAAAACTGAAATTTTTAGTGTGAAATTGACAAAATGAGATTACGGGGGTAGTGCACTAAAAGAAAAATTTGGACCATTTTAAAGAGATTGTGACGGGCAACGACTATATAGGTGTTGTAGAGGAGACAATGGCGCATCATTTTAGAAAATCTCCAGAGTGATTTATGTTCGAAAATCTGAAGTTACGGTTAAAACAATGAAATTGTGAAATTGACAAAATGAGATTAGGGGGGGGGGGGGGGGGGGGGGGGGTAGGCCAATTTAAGTTAATTTTTGACCAATTTCAAGAGATTGTGACGGGCAACGACTATATAGGTGTTGTAGAGGAGACAATGGCGCATCGTTTAAGAAAATCCCCAGAGTGGTTTATGTTTGAAAATCTGAAGTTACGGTTAAAAAACTGAAAATTTTATTATGAAATTGACAAAATGAGATTAGGGGGTAGTGCACTAAAAGAAAAATTTGGACCATTTTAAAGAGATTGTGACGGGCAACGACTATATAGGTGTTGTAGAGGAGACAATGGCGCATCATTTTAGAAAATCTCCAGAGTGATTTATGTTCGAAAATCTGAAGTTACGGTTAAAACAATGAAATTGTGAAATTGACAAAATGAGATTAGGGGGGGGGGGGGGGGGGGGTAGGCCAATTTAAGTTAATTTTTGACCAATTTCAAGAGATTGTGACGGGCAACGACTATATAGGTGTTGTAGAGGAGACAATGGCGCATCGTTTAAGAAAATCCCCAGAGTGGTTTATGTTTGAAAATCTGAAGTTACGGTTAAAAAACTGAAAATTTTATTATGAAATTGACAAAATGAGATTAGGGGGTTAAGGCACTAAAAAAACATTTGGACCATTTTAAAGAGATTGTGACGGGCAACGACTATATAGGTGTTGTAGAGGAGACATTTGCGCATTGTCTAAGAAAATCTCCAGAGTAGTTTATGTTCGAAAATCTGAAGTTACGGTTAAAAAACTGAAAATTTTATTGTGAAATTGACAAAATGAGATTAGGGGGGTAGGGCATTAAAAGGAAATTTTGGGTCAATTTCAAAGAGATTGTAACGGACAACGACTATATAGGTGTTGTAGAGGAGACATTGGCGCATCGTTTAAGAAAATCTTCAGAGTGGTTTATGTTCAAAATCTGAAGTTACGGTTAAAAAACTGAAATTGTAAAAACAAGGGATGGCGTACCCTAAGATGAATGAAGACCAATTTATAGAGATTGTGACTTGTATAAAAAAGTACATCAATATTTTTGCCCGCGAAATTTATCCGACAGTATGTATACACCGTTTACAACACACTTTCTCTTGAGTCGGTAGTCCACAAACACGACAATGAAGTAAGTAGTTTTTTTATATTGAAATAACAGGGTCCTAAAATTTTGACAATGTCATTTTATATTCTTTTTGAACATCTCTTTCTGTCAACTCCTTCGCCATCCACATAAAACATGGATGATTGTAAACGTGCACATTATTACATATTTGTATACTGCACACAACATAATTGATAATAATGGTCCCAAAAAATGGAAAGAAATATAATACAGTCCTATTAATTTTATTTTACTAATAAAAAAAAAGTGATTGTTGAAATAAAGAAGTAATTTGTCTGAAAGCTTTGGAATTATCTTGTTGAATGACCAAACCACGCCCCTTCCCTTTTTTCGACGAGTCAACGGTCGTTAAACGTTCTAACGGATGAACGTACATTTATCTCCGAGCTTTGTTGAGTATAATAGGGTAATAGCTAAACTTCTGATAAACTTTGTCAAATTATTTGACTGAGACAATTTCAGTTTTTTTTTTACAAAATAATGGAAAATATGAGAGAACAGCAATACAAAAACGAAATTTAAAACACAACTTTGATTTGAATTTAAAATTTTAATAGATGTTTATATCAATGTTTATTGTTTTCTCTGTCGGAACTCAGCATCTGTCAAATTCATAAATGTTATGGGGACGATACGCAAGTTTATGGCAAGAGTTGATAGATGTTCGTCTGTGGTAGCTAATAACGGTTTATTATCTTTCTCGTGAACTAGGTTGCACGTGTTCCAATTTTAGTGTTTGTCAACTTTTATGTTAATCAGTTGTTTCTAGATTTTAGAAGAATTAGCTGTGCGATATCGAACTTATATTTTTTTTAGAAAATAAATATATTTATATTTACTCGCGTGTGAAATAATTCTAGTGAAAAAAATATCACAAAAAGGAATTCTATAACCTATCAATATTTTTAGCTTATTATGCCCCCGCCGTAGCGGAGGGGCATTAGGATCTACCCTTGTCCGTCTGTACGTCCGTGCGTCTGTACGTCCCATATAATGCCAATGCTAAATATAATGTAAAAGTCCGAGTCATCCTTTTCGCCCCATTAAAAAAAAAACGTTCTCTTTAATTCCAATTTGTCTCAACCAAATGTTATTTTGTTCCATAACTTATGCTCTTCTGACTTAAAGTATCAATTTAAGATCGGTTTTTATGTTAGAATTTCACCTACCTACACCCTACAGATGGCTTTATTACACATTTTTGAATATTCAAAAAGAGCATTCTAAGGATAATTTTATATTCAACGTGTATAACTTCAATTGATGTTTTTACCTTTGACGTTTATTTTAAACTTTTATTTTCCGTCTTACGAAAAGAGAAGAAGTCTGTTTGTTAACATTTTACACCATATTCACACGAAAAAAACATGATAACACTCGAAAAGACCGATCAATTCACGCTTTAAAACGATCCAGGGCACAAAATCGTCTATTTTGTCGTCGTGAAGTTTTTCTTTTGATTTTTGTCGAGCCTGCGACTTTTGTCGCAAAAGCGAGACATAGCGATCCTACATTCCGTCGTCGGCGTTAATGTTGTCTTCGTCCGGCGTCGTCGGCGGCGTCCACAAATATTCACTCTGTGGTTCAAGTTTTTGAAATTTTAATAACTTTCTTAAACTATCCTGGATTTCTAATAAACTTGGACAGAAGCTTGTTTATGATCATAAGATAGTATCCAGAAGTAAATTTTGTAAAAAAAATCCTGTTTATCCGTATTTTACTCATAAATGGACTTAGTTTTTCTGCCAGTTAACATTACATTCACTCTGTTGTTAAAGTTTTTCAAATTTTAATAACTTTCTTAAACTATCCTGGTTTTGTACCATACTTGGACAGAAGGTTGTTTATGATCATAAGATAGTATTTAAAAGTTGATTTTGTTAAAAAAATAATCCTGTTTATCCGTATTTTACTTATAAATGGACTTAGTTTTTCTGCCAGTTAACATTACATTCACTCTGTGGTTAAAGTTTTCATACTTTTAATAACTTTCTTAAACTATCCTGGATTTGTACCAAACTTGGACAGAAACTTGTTTATGATCAAAAGCTAGTATCTAGAAGGAAATTTTGTAAAAAAAAATTCCTGTTTTTCCGTATATTACTTATAAATGGACTTAGTTTTCTTCCAGTTAACATTACATACAGTCTGCAGTTAAAGTTTTTAAAACATTTATTAGATTCATAAACCATCCTGGATTCCTTCCAAACTTGAACAGAAGCTTCTTACAATCAAAAGATAGTATCTAGAGGAAAATTTGTAATAATTATTTCCCCATTTTTGTTGAGCCTGCGACTAACAGCAAAAGTAGGCGGACACTGGGTTCCACGGAACCCTTACGAATTTTTTCGTATGAAACTGAAATGTAATCATATTTATTTTTGGCATTGCACAAGTCATGTCTTCTTTGACTGTTCATAACGTTAAAATACTAAATCCCTGGGATGTATTTTAGTTGATTTTAGTCTCTGGTGCATGATTTTTTATTATTAATTGTTTTGGCTTTTAACTAGCTGTCAGTAACTGCGAGTACGCTCAAATCGTACTTTCTTTTTAATTTGACCTGTTGATACTATTTGTAATGCCTTTTTGTTATTTAATGTTAACATTGATCTTGTCTATATACCAGCTTTGATTATTTGGTATTTAATTACTACAAATTTTCACTTCTTCGTACTATGAACATCAAAATTATTTCATTTTTCCTTAGATGCTGTTCTTGGACCTATACAGGAAATTTTATCTAGCACTAATTGTATATTTTTATTGTTGATATTCACCCCATATGTACCAAGTGTTAGATTAGTTTTATTGATATTAAAGAAATTTCTTGGTATTCCTAAACGGAAGATTTTATACACACAGAAGTATACATAACAACAAAATTATTTTCATTTACCTGTGTATAATATGACGCAGGTTTCTTTAAAAGTGATGATTTTCTATAAATTGTTTGAAATTTCACAGTGATATCATACTTTAACTTTGTTTAAACCTGTTTATTTTACTTATGACTTTAATTATTTATTCCTTGTAATTTTTTATTAACTGTGTTTTTGCATTCAGGTGTCACAGGTCAAATTTATTCGTTCATTGTGTGTTAATTTACGTTATTTGATTGAGTTAAGCCTTCCAATTGATATTTTATAGTGTGTTTTTCTATGTTGTGATGTTATACTATTGTTTCAGAAAAAAGAGAAGGTTTGGTACCATTAAAACGTTTAATCCCGCTGCAAATGTTTGCACCTGTCCTAAGTCAGGAATCTGATTACAGTAGTTGTCGTCTGTTAATGTAGTTCATACGTGTTTCTCGTTTTTATATAGATTAGACCGTTGGTTTTCCCGTTTGAATGGTTTTACACTAGTAATTTTTTGGGGCCCTTTATAGCTTGCTGTTCGGTGTGAGCCAATGCTCTGTGTTGAAGGCCGTACCTTGACCTATAATGGTTTACTTTTATAAATTGTAACTTGGATGGAGAGTTGTCTCATTGACACTCATACCACATCTTCCTATATCTATATGTCAAAATCTGCAAAAAGCAAAAGTACTGCTGTTTATACAAGTATTACTTTTATTTAAAGCAAGTTCTCTGGGGTAATTTTCAGCAGTATGATTAGGGAATTCTTTATTGTTTGAAGCAAAAATGCCATCAAGGTAACGGTAAGCGTTATTAAATGTATCTATTAAATGGAATTTAGACGAATCTTCACTAAGAAATTGGCCATTAACTGAAATTCATAACAATACAGGAACAAGTTCTGAAGTAAGGTATCATAAGGATGAAAATTAAGAATTGAAAAAAAACCATTTGGTATTTCAAAAGTTGTTTTGTAGATAAATTGACTTGTGATTACAATGAAGATTTCAATCATTCCAATAAAGAGTTGGACCAAGTGATACCGGAGCGGACAGTTGGTTGCAGGCTGCAATCGGCAAGTCAGTTGAATATGAAGGAGGAAAGAAAATATAAGTGTTTCACCAAAACAGTATATATACGGGTATATAAGGTTCAATTTGTGAATATTTGAAAAATGTGTAAGAATGTTTCGTGTTTTATTTCCTTTATTAAACTGAACGAAGGTTTGAAATTTATTTGAAATTGATTCTTGATGTTATAAAACTTATATGTATGAGTGCCATTATATGAATTTAACAATTATGAGACAAATAACAAATGATTTACCAGCGGTAAAATTTTAGCTGGAGAAGATAACTTGCTACGGATAAATAGCAGAAAATGTAGAAATTTCGAGAAATCACACTTAGCGATGTGTACGAAACAGAACCTTTTCAGGAAGTAATACACGACTTTATCAAAATTCCACTGAAAGAATTGTTATGAAAAATAATGACCATAACGCCGGAGTATTTTTTGTGGATTTAAAAAGTCATGTAAAAGTGTGCAAAGTTTGCTACAATTCCATTACGACCTTTCTTAAACTATTTATGTTAAATGTTTTGTTATTTTGTTATGTTATATTAAACTTTTCATTCAATGTGTGTGTCCCCCCCCCATGTTTCTTTAATAAAACATGAATTGAAATCTAGAGACACATGATAGATTATCATAATAATGACTATAGAAAGCCATTTAAAACAATTTACCAAATCTCTAAGGTTAGAATTTTATTGTGTGAACCATCACATTTTAAGGTGGATTAATTGGTTTCAGTGACAGATTTCCTCTTACAATATTTTATAACAAGTTTAATTGTTTCAAATGAAGGATTTATGCCCATCTGTCCAAACTCATTAAAACAAAAGTAAATAAGATGTAATAGTTATGTGCAATTCAGTA